TATCTCAAAAACCCCAGCCTCCAGAACCAAAAATTTAAAATCGGTCTGAGAGACCGAGAAATCGGAATGTTGTTGTTTGTTGAAAATTATTTTCCTAATACCTCTAGCTCTAAAAGCGCATCTACTTGTTTTTTTTTTTTTTTGTAAATCAAGATACAAATGCCAGTAGAGTAGCTTTCAGAGTAAATCCCTTTTGGAACGCCAGCGTTCATGCAGGATTACAGTATACTTAAATGATATTAAATTTCCACAGTTAAAATTGAAATATAAAATCTACATATAACTACAGGATTCACCTCAAATCATAGTTTTATTCTAACCTCAAACAACACTGCCTGTTTAAATGCAATAAAAATCAAATACGATCCACAGTTGTCAGGGTTCTTGGGATTACTGAGTTTAACTCTGTTATGCATTCTACTTGAAGGAATAAATTCGTGTTTGATAATCCCGAAGGCCGTTGAACTCAACGACTCAAAATTCCATCTATACGTGTCCTGACTGACTACTACAAGCCCAAATTACCGCTTTAATGAATTTAAGCATTTTTTTGAGGTTGCAAAAAAAAGTCATAAAAAAAAAAATAAAACATTTTTATAGTTTTTAATTATTTTTAAAAATAATTGAATTTAAATGGCCTCCACGCTCAGTGACGCCTGTGCGATTTCTTATCAAAAGGTTATTCATTACTGCCTGGGAAGCATGGGATTGCCTCAACTATCGTAAAAATCTGGCACAGTGAAGTCAGGCCACCTTGAGGGCTAACGAAATGTGGAGTTTCTTTAAATCAGCTGGTTGGGGAATTTACGCTGTAATTCTGCCATAACAGGGCTGGCTGTATGAAAAGGTGCGTCGCTTAGAGTTGACGTGGTTCAGAAAAAAACTCTTTAAACAATATTAAGTAACGCTCTCCACCTGCCCCTATATTCTCTTTGGACGAATACTACGGACTCCAACGCGTGAATGTGACGCACAATCCCAATATTCATCGCAATGTTCCAATCCTCCATTTTCGTTAAATTTTAAGATCAAAATATATAATAGTAATAAAATGGAACAGATTTGCTACACAGAAAAAAATTATTGCGTTTTTTTGGTAGCACCTTTCAATAGCCACCCTGTACATACAGTCGGCGTCAAAAATATGAATACCCAGACGTTTCTTTATTTATATTTTCCATACCAAATGTTTCTTATTTTTTATAAAAGTATATTTGGTTGAACAGCAAAAACCAGCAGAATCAATTTTATCAATTTCATATATAACTCGGGAAAATTCAAGAGCTACCAAAAAATGTGTCATCAAAATTTTTAACATTTCAATTCCATTTCTTAGAAAAATTCTTGGTATGCAGTTTTGAAGCCCATTAAATTTTAATAAAATTTTCAGCTTTTCAATTCAAATGTAGTATAATAAGCCGAAACTTTCAAGTCTAAAAATTACCGTTGATTTTTGAGAATTTTTTTTTGTCGAGGGTGTTGCGCATTTTCTTCCCTATAAAAATAGAGTTTTATATGAAATTAAAAAAATCGGTTCTACTTGTTTTGTTTTGTAGAATGAACTATATTTTTATAACCAAAAATTGGCATGGAAAATATAAAAGAAGAAAATCGATAAATTTAATTTTGTTTAAACTTTCGGCTACGATTTTGTTATATTTCTATTAACTGTTGATTCTATTTTATTTCGGTTGAATGCTTTTTCTTACATGTTTTTTAATTTGTGCAAAAGTGATGATTCGTTTTTGTGTTGTTTTAACTCCAATTGCCATTTTTACCGCTAATTCTTCAAAATACTTATGTATATTGTTTTAGGAAATTGAAAAAGAAAAAACAAATAAAAAACTGTAACATGTGAAAGCACAATGAAATTTCGTAAGCTCGAGAGGCGCTTCATGGTGCATTTACATGGTATGAATCTGTTCATAAGCCGTATGAATTTTCCTATAAAAGAAGCACCAACTCTATGAAGAAATGAATGAATTTTGACTTGTATACTAGACAACATGATAAAAACATAGCAAGGTTGAACCGTTCTCTCAATTTGTCGGCCATGATTTTTTTTTGAAGTTTGCCAACATTTTAAAATCATATAAAAGTGAAAATAAAAAATTGAAATTGTTCGAAATTGTTGTTGCTTGAGATTGAAAAGGAAAATGTGTGTGTGAGTTTGTGAGTAAATTTAAAAATTAAATTGCTTGGAAACGTCAAGAATTTCAAAAGTGACTCTCAGCGGTTCTACCCATGATACAAAAAAGAAGGTAGTTCCATTTAATGACATTCGTTGTTGTTGCTAACCATTTGACTTTTAATAAAATTATGACATTTCATAAAATTCATGCTACCTGATCACCAGAGATAATATTTTTTTTTTTGTAAAAGTAAACAAAAATGTATGAAAATGAGTGAAGTTTAGTGAAGTTATTGAACATATATGAAAGGAGGGCTGCATGACCATCCGTCACCTCTCGAATTCAAGTACAGATTTCGATCATACCTTCTAGGTAATTTTTTAACCACTTAAAGAAATTATTGTTGTTGTCATAAAGATTCTAAAATGTATGCATGAACTTTATTAGGGCGAAACGAAACTATTTTGAGCACGGAAACAAATGTTGAGTCTTCAAGTGAAGTAATGTTAAAATTTGAAGAGGAGTTGCTCAGTGAAAATGTTTTCAAACCACTTAACGATATTGAAATATCCGCAGAAGAACTCGAGGTAAACTCCTTACCCTTTCGTTTTTATTTGATTTCTAATTTTTTTAAGTAGCTCCCAGAAGAGCATGAAGCAGAAGATTTCATCAGTCCACTCAAAGATGTGGAATATGATGGACTTGAAAATTTTGCCGGCTACATAATATCGAAAATGGGGTTGACAAAACTAGGCTTCAGGACGCATGAAGAAAGTGATCAAAATTATACGTATGTTAACTGTTTATCGGAGGGCGGTCTGTACAAGCCTAATTCAAGTTTTTTGCATACATTGGAAATTTTGAATTCAAAATTTGTTGAAATTAATGGTGATTCGCTAACCACAAAGCAAAAATTTTTGCAAAATCTGATGAGAAATTTAAAAGTAAATTTGGACCAAAATATTATAAAAAGATTTTATTTGGGAAGAACATTCTTTAGAATTCGATTTTTAAATCGCAAGATTAAAGAAACGAAAATTGTATATCAAAATAAGAAAATGAAAAAAATAACAACATAATGCACTAATGGTTTTTATTATAAAATAAAAAGAATAATTACAATGTAACAGTTTACATTTTATATATTTTTAATAAAAGAGGGGCAAACCACGTAAGTAAAAAAATATAAAGTACTGATTGTGAGTTTTGATTTGAAATATTCTCACATTGGTAAAAATATGGGAAAGAAAATACTCCGATGTAAATTTTATTATCCGTCAAAAGTTGTTTATTGAAACTACCTTCTTTTTTGTATCATGGTTCTACCTTACTATATTTTTATCATGCTAGACATGATAAAAAAATAGGAAGGTAGAACCGCTGAGGGGAATTTTTCAAATTCTTGACGTTTGCAAGCAATTTAATTTTAAAATTTTACACACAAACTCACAAACACATTCTCATTTTAAATCTCAAACAGCAACAACTTTGAACAATTCCTTTTTTTTTACTCTCATTTTTATATGATTTTAAAATGTTGGCAAACTTCAAAAAAAAAATCATGGCCGACGAATTGAGAGAACGGTTCTACCTTACTATGTTTCTATCATGATGCTAGACAACATTTTTTTTTGTAAATAACAAATAAAAGAATTTTATTTTGTGCTAGCTTCGAAACTAGAAGCT